TTTATTTTGGAACCGATCATATACAACCTACACTTCAGGTGTAGTGATTCAAGTACAATTGGCAAGATTTATCTCAATGTATACACATAATTAATATGACAAAAATGTATCTTCAACGCTATGCAACATGAGTCATAACTGAATACAAATCAAATCATAAATGTGCAACATATCTTGATAATATATATACAAAAGTTGGCATATATATAACTTTTCAAACTACAATTATAGGGATCATATATATTTTTATTTATTTATTTATTTATTTTGATTTTCCCAACTTTTGCTATTTCTTCTCCCCCTAAGTTGGTAATATATCTCTTTTATAGGGGCGTCTAATTTTATACCAACTTAGTATATAAATTTGCATTAATATTCATTTCATTCGGAGGATCACAATCAAAATTTATCTCTTCTGGAGAACAATTTCGATGAAAACTTTATATTTCATGTGTATTTGTTATTAAATTTTCAATAATATTTTCTCTTCTGGAGATCAACGTCAATGGGGAGACATATGTTGTGCAGTTGTACGTTTTTCTTTCTTCTCCAATTTAATATGTGCTGACATATAATAGCCCCAATCAAAAGAATTGTTATACAAGCATAAATCACTTACTCGTAATTCTAGTAGGTGATGATCTTCTGGATCGTTAAAGACTTAAATAGTGTATTTGGTGAGCTTCTGATCACTTGATAGTTGACAGTAATATATAAGTTATTTTGGTGAACTTCTGGTCAGCCATTACTCCTTTATCAGCCATTACTCCTTATATATAAAAAAAAAATCAAAACATATTAAATCTTGAAATTTTCATCAATACAAATTATTATAACTTACAATCCAAATATAACTCAATCTCAATATTACGTCTTGCCATTCAATTCATTTTATATATTTAACATTGAGAAAGCATCAACACATTATCAAATGAAACTTCAGGTTTCCATTACGGGTAATTATTATTAAACTCGAATGGCCTAATTTAATTATCACATCCAATCACTTCTATAAATTTGAACTCTGGTCAGTTTTCAACACTAGCGATCACTTATTAAACTTACTATATGCATGGCCATGAATGTGATGTGATATTAGAACACCAACATGTGTTTCTTTGTACAATTGGCAAGACAATCAATTAATATTTCATCCAATAATTACTCATACTCTACTAGAGTTTAAACTATAAACTTGATACATGTTAATCTTGTTGGATATTTTATACTCTTCTAGAGTCTTTTATATAATCATGAAACATATGAACTTTACTAAAAGTGATTTTTTCTAGAAATGTAATGATATTTACCACTTCCTCAAATTTGTCATTGTCAATAGTGACTCATTTCCTTTTCAAAGATACTTAATTATCTTTAGAACCTATTGATTTATCACGCTTCAGGCATGCTATAGGTTCATCAACAATTGATGTTGTACTCTTAGGACATCAATTTTAAATTAGAGCATTTACAACTAGTATATGATAATATATCCATCTTCAGGATGGTATCATTTCAAAATATTTAATTAACATGTGGCCACTTCTATTTCATTGATATTTAAGTTATTGTATGTATCAAACTGACCATCAATATATTTTATTATTTATATGCAAGGATTACATACAATCTCCCCCTAATCCTTGCATATAGGGGTGTGGAATGAATCAATCTAACAACCTTTAAAATCATTGCAACTTTTAAGCCATAAATTCTTTTGGCAATGTCATGTATCAAGTAACGTGTTCCTTTTAGTAAAAACATGCTTATATAAAATTATTCTTACAGAACACTTATCATATTCCTCATGCCCAATTACATTCATCTTAAAAAAAACAAAACCTCTTATATTTATGAGCATAATAAAACGTTGATTATGTATAGTTTCTCACAATATCATGTTTAATTACTTGAACTCATAACACACTTTTTGCCATATATTTAATTAATTAAAGAACTTCAAGTCCATACATCATTTTCAATTTAATTTCATTCCAACAATCCAATTTTCAAGTAGGCACATAATACAGTAATAGAATCTAATCACACATCAATCAACATAATATATATACATAGTATGATTCATAATATTATCAACTTATAAGGATATTAGTATATGATTATGATACCAAGTTAATATTATCAACATAATATAAATTTTGAGACGAATATGCATGCCATTATAGAGAATTAACCTGTAAGTTAATAGTAGTACACTACTTTATTGTCTTACCTATATCATAGGAAGTTATCGATATCCATGATATAGTCATTATCGTTAGCTCATCACAATACAGACTATAGTTTAAATTCACTATTCAAATAAAAACTAGCATGATTTGTGATCAACAATAACTATTCATGTAATCATTAAAATATAACATCATGCTTTTATACGTAAATTCACTAATTGTACAACTAATATCACAATCACCAGATAATTGAATTAGTCATTTAAAAATTAGTATACAAACTTTAATTAAATTTATCCTCTTCAAGTAGCTAAATATGCAGTATATTTCTGCAATATATGTACCTCATACCAAGAAAAATGAAAAACTAAGATTGTATATAATATGCTTCAAATTGCTAGCAATCATTAAATATAATCAAATAATAGTTCATTCCCATGACATCAAGGGCCTCAAATTCAAGTTTTGTCAGGTTCGACATAAATTGCTATAGAAGATAATATTATAAATTCTAGTAAGATAATAAAATTATAGTCATACAGAATCATAGCATAACATCCATAATAATCAATTTAATAATGAATTCAAAAAAGATAAATATCTTTGTTAATATAATTGTTGGAATACGGAGTAGTAGAGCAAAGTATAATATAGTAGAAGAAGGATAATGCTTCATGTTTAATTAAGTTAACCTCGGTGCCTTATACAGGCCAATATCACAAAACAAACAAAGCTTAAATTAAGCCAACTAAAAGCTTAATAATAGGAGCATGACTCCACTAACAAAGAAAAGAAAAATGCCTAAAAGAAATAAATCCACTAACATCTATCTTATTGTTGACTCATACTAGAACCTCGCAACTAATTCAGAAACTTAAGGAACTAATTAGTCCACTAACCAACGCTTATTGAAGCATATTACTCAATAATAATGTATGTTATTCATATCCTAAAAAAAAAACTTGGCACATACTCTATAGCAGTGATTAGGGATTGATAATTAGATCAACAAATTTTATAGCAGTATTGACGGAATGAGTTCTAAACATAAATATCAAATAATAGACAACATAATAAATTCACAAAGAATAAGTCACAAAATAGAGATTATAATATAATAATATTCATTAATGGATGTAATTCAAACACCCAATTATTTAATTGTGGGAAACTCAACCAAGTTTAAACAAATTAGCGCTTGCCAAAATATGATAATCATGTAAATAATTTCAGTATGGCCAAAGAAAAACAAAACAGATGCAAAAGGTTGATGTAGAGTATAAATAGAAGTAGAACAAAAACTAAATGAAAGACTTTGAAATAACCCATATAAAGAACCTAATGGTATGAAGTATTGTAGAAAAATCACATGCATGATCACAAGCATATATACTCTGTATTATTGATTGATATGGTAAACTTCAATTTCACGAAAATACATTCACACAAATAAATAAATAAATAAATTAATCAACCGATCCCACGCACACAATTAACAAGTCAAGCCATAATATATAATCACCTAATGATGAAACACCTTGACCCAAAACAATCATATATGATCTATAATATATTACGTGATCGTTACTTATATTTCATTAGAAAAATTAAAATAAACACTAACCTTAATGATGCTAATTTTATTTGCTCAATCAAGTAGGGCTGGTGCTGATAACGTGTTATAAAATAGGGAGAAATATAAGAGAGATTGATAGAGAATATATCAGTGTATTTCTATTCCATATAATGGGGTATATATAAATACAATATATTAGGGTTTGAATGAATAAGAATATAAACCCTAGATCTAGATTGTTCCGGAATGATACAAAGGAGGATAATGGATATCCACAAATATTTCATAACACGAGTATAATTAAGCGTCAACCTATCATATAACTAATATATAAAGCTAAACTTTTAGCCAGGCGACGAGACAGCGACACTTGGGTTCTAAATTTTCGCCAAGTGTTGCGCCATGTAGGATAGAGTTATACAGAATTCAATTTGTAGGATAAAAAAGTTCGTTTAGAATTCTATTTTCAATCAAATTTGGATAGAATTTTAAGATAAAATGGTTAATTTAGAGTTTTATTTTCGATAAAATACCAATATTTACAAATTGAATTATAATTTTATTCAAAAAATAATTACATTATAACTCTCATAAATTATCATATAATTTTATTTTTTGTATCATAATATTTTTTTGGAGCGAAGGAATTAGTTCAAAATGTACAACATCTATTTTTATAATATATTCTAATCAATTAAAAATAATAATACTTCAAAATCTAATATAATTTTATTACTGTGTGTAAACCTACCCATCAATCGGTCGGATCACGAGTCATTGCGGACGGGGTCATTATTTCAGGTTACGGGTAAAGAAATGTTTTCACCAATATTATTATTATTAGTCATTACATGCCTACTACATAGTTTAAATTGTCACAAAATTAAAACACATAATTTCCTAACTAAATTTGTATCAATGATATGTTTTAAAATTTGACATATAGATTAGAAATTAATCTTAAAATTCAATAAACAACTCGGGCATCGTACGGGCACAAAACTAGTTTTTTTAATTTTATTACTATGTGTAGACCTGTCAATCGGGTCGGGTCACGAGTCATTTCGAACAGGGTCATTATTTCAGGTTACAGGTCAAAGAATGTTTTTCACCAATGTTATTATTATTAGTCATTACATGCATGCCTACTATATAGTTTAAATTATCACAAAAACACATCAATTCCTAACTAATTTTGTATCAAATATATGTTTTAAAATTTGACATATAGATTAAAAATTTATCTTAAAATTCAATAAGCAACCTGGGCATCGCACGGGTACAAAACTAGTAATTCTATAAATCTGATCAATCCCAAGATAATACTTACAGAGTACCAATTATCAATTATCATGCATTCTAAAAGGCTAGATAAAAAGTTAAAACTAGCTAATTTTGTCAACAACTACCAATTATAGCCTCTATTTTGAAAACAACTATCTTTTAAATTTTTTTTAAAAACAACTACCACAAAAAATTTAAAAGTTAGGGTAGCACTACCACATTAGTATTTCCGGCTAGAATCACATTATATTATATTTTTTTTTTAAAAAAAAAACCTCATACGCTTCCTCAATTGGTCAATAGCAATTTTCTCCTTCTCTTCCAGAATATTGTGGTCCAATATTTGATCTGGAAAAACCACCCTGTAAAACGAGAGCAGATATAACAGTAATAATATGATTCTGCGATATTTAATCCAAACAAAGGCTAATCAAATTTGATGAAATTTCTGCAGGATGTAGAAATGCATGCAATAAAGGGAATATTCTAAACCTGGAATGGACTTATAGACGGAAATGTTTTTTTTTTTCGTTATTTAAAGAGCCACGCGAGAAATTTAATAGCTAAAAAACAAAAACACTTTATGTTTTTTTTTTTTAAAAAAAAAACGGAAAATACTATATGTTATAATTTGCATAAATGGTTCAAAAATGTAAAAAAATACAAAATGAAATAAAATAAGGAAGCTAGAGAGATGTTGTGGAGGAAAAAAGGTGAAAAAAATATCATATACTTCCTCTATTTCTTAACATTTGCAAACACTTCCAATATATATTGATCTTTATTATCTTTAATTACCAATGTGTAAAAATTACAAAATTTTGATATTAGATTGAGACAAGTATAACTATATTTTACATAACTATAATTTTTATAACCTATAAATCACCATAGCTAGTCAAAGTGAGATATGTAAATAGTGTAAAAGTCAACTATAAGTGTAAAATAAACGTGCACAACTTTTAAATTAATAGTGCACTTTTTTTTTTTTGATAAATGTGCATAATTTTACGCTAATGAAATTTGATCATTTTGTTGGATTAATTTACATGCTAAGATTTTTTCTCATTCTTAAAACATAAAAAGAGAACGTAATTGGTAACATACCTGATACCTGATGAAACAATTTTTCCATGAGGACTCGTCTATGTAACGCCTGCTTTTGTCATAGGAAAATTTTTAAAAAACCACCCAAAAATGTGTTGAATTTCTAACTAACCACCCAAAAAAAAAATTATTTTAAAATACCACCCATTAAATTAATTTTTTGCTCAGATTCCCACCCAATTTGAAAATCCGGTGGTTTTTTAGCTTGTGGGGCCCACATAACGGCTAGTTTATGCTTTTATTTGTTTTCTTCCCCCGATTTTTCCTATAAAAGTGTATTCCTTATTCAACTTTTGCTCCTAAACAAAAATTTTCCCCAAATTACACAAAATTAAGCTTGCTTCTAATTGCAAAAATTGAATAAGGAATACACTTTTATAGGAAAAATCGGGGGAAGAAAACAAATAAAAGCATAAACTAGCCGTTATGTGGGCCCCACAAGCTAAAAAACCACCGGATTTTCAAATTGGATGGGAATCTGAGCAAAAAATTAATTTAATGGGTGGTATTTTAAAATAAATTTTTTTTTGGATGGTTAGTTAGAAATTCAACACATTTTTGGGTGGTTTTTTGAAAATTATCCTTTTGTCATAAAACCCATCAGGATTCACTCCAAGTCTCCCCATGTCTCACCCAACATGATGACTTCTCATGAAACACATTAGGAAAATACTTTCTTGTCAAAAAAGAAGGGAGATACTTCAAACTGGGCAAGCTTAAGAGAGACAGCTCTCTGAGAGATGTCAATTTCCCCAACCAGTTGGGTATACTGTTCATATTTGAGAATTTTTCAATTGCCAAACATTGGAGTGCCTTTAAATGTTGGAGCTGATCGGGAAGTTCATTCGTAGAACAGTTATCAGTCTTATCACCTATCAATTTTAATTTTTCAAGAGATTTGCAAACTGGACTTTTTCTATCCAAGTCTGTAACTAGTTGTATTACATCAGTGCACAGTTCCCTTAAACGAGGAAGGCTGCCCAACCCTACTGGATTTCTGAAGTAGTAACAACCATCTACCACCATTATTTCTTCCAAAGATTCGCGACATCGAAACCCTTCCTCAGGTAATTCAATAATCAGCTTCTTGCAATGTTGTATTGTTAAGAAACGAAGACATCTCAAGTTCTCCAATTTCAGATTTCCCTCAGCTTCACACCCATAAATCTTCAGGGAGACGAGGTTGGGATGTGAGGAACCTCCTTCAATTAGCCATTTTGGAAATGTAGTACCGCAATAATTCAAGATCTCAAACATTTTCAAATTGACATTAGGTTGCAGGGCTTCTAGAATTTCATTATCATTGGTTTCCTTTTTTATTTTCAAGTTATGAACCCAATTGAAAACTAAACTGCTAAGATATGACTTGTTGTCTAGAAGTAGGCTGCGAGCTTCTTCTTCACCACTTAAATTATGTAAATTGTAGAGTTTCAATGTACCCCTAAGATTATTCAACGACCCTAGTTCACCAAATCTCCAACCCCATTTTTTCCCTAAATTTATGGACGGTAAAGTTTGTGTTTCGGATGAAAACAATCGAATCTCGGAAGATCCTTTTATCTTGAGGGAACTTGGTCTCGGTCCGAACGACGCAGGAGCCGAGGGTTTCCTGCACAACAAATACACGTAAACTAGCCTCGGGGGGGACGCCGAGGAAGGCCCCTCCGATGCTTAAGTCAGTATATTAGAGAGAGAAAGCTGTGCAAGAGTTTAGTTGCTTGAGGCTTTTTTGTCTTACCAAGAATTGACCAAATTGTTGGCTTTTATACCTTGGCTAATGAAGGAGGCGGATTGGGCCCGGAAGTCAGTTGGGCTGGGCCAAGCTGATTGGGCCGTTGACTGACCTTGACATGGCTTTGAGGATGTTTGATTTTTGACTTTAGCACATTTGGAGAGTTGAACCTTAACCTTGGGCTTTTAATTGGATCATTCAGTGACCAGGCCCAATTGGACTAAATTGGACCCAAACAACTTGCCCCCCAGACCCGATTTGGAAGGATGACGGGTCGGGTTTGATTTAATCAGAAAAGGAGGGAAGTGAATGATTTGTTAATCCAAAAATGTGAATTTAAACCGTAATTAACCCATGATTAATGAGATAACAACAGTTAATGTGGATAATTGCGGAAGTTGGACGGGTAGTGGGCGACTTAACTGCAAGGTCGTGTGTTTAACGGTTACTTAGTGGGGTGCTTGAGAGAAATTGAAACGCAGACTCCTTGAATTCCCATTTCTGGAGATATAAATAGAGGCGCGTCTTCTCTCCCCACTCATTCATCAACACAAACCCAGAATTCTCAAGAACGCTCAAGAGCCCGCATCAAAACTTCGCAAATTCCCCGAGCATTAAGCTTAGAAGCTGAGACTTGTCACTACCAATTCGTAAATCGGCGACTTTTGCTTCAGATCAAGGTAAATTCCTTTGATTTTATTTCATTTTTCTTCGACTTTGCACTCTTTCCCCTTTTTCGACTTTTTCCTTCGAAATTCGTCAATGGTGAGGGGAGTTAGAGGTGGAGCCCGTGCTCCAAGAAGAGCAAGGCTAATCCCCGATCCCAGGGACAGGATTGGGACCTGGAATGGACGAAGGACAGAGTCTGACCCTGCTGAAGGGGTTAGGGCGACTCCCATTTCTTCGGCTCCTCCTCAGAGGGCTGAGGGGGTGAGCGCTTCAGGACGGGATGATGAAGTTCCCGCTGTCCTTTGGGATATCCTCCCAGGGTTTTCAGAGTGGGAGGATGCCGAAGTAGCTTCGGCCATGATAAAGAACCGCCCCTACTCATGGTGGGTAGAGAACGCCGATCAATATCGATTTGCCGAGCAAATTGAGTTGCACTACGGCATTTTTGAAGCTGATGGATATTGGTGCCGAATGCCCTCAGCATCCGATAGAATCCATCGTCCACCCCCGGGGTATGTGGGGGTGTACACGAGACAGCTTCAGTATGGGCTGAGGTTCCCTTTGGACGTTTTCGTCCGAGACTTGCTGATCCATTACAACATTTCCCTGTGCCAGCTGACCCCCACCAGCATCCGAAGGGTAATGACGTACTTATGGGTCTGCAAATTCTTCAGGTACGTGCCGAACCTGCATTGCTTCAAAAGGCTCCATCGGCTAGTGCCAAACATTCAAAGTGGGCACGGATGCCATGGCTCTGGGTGGTATCGGATTGAGTCTCGGCCCCCGTTCCTAACCATGTGGCCGAACGACTCTTCAGACAAGGACTGGAGAGGTCAATGGATTTGGGTTAGGGCACCCACGGAGCCGAGCCACCCTTACGTTTTCAGCGCTCCCCGGTATCTTGCCGAGCCGGATCCTGATATGGGAAGTTTAGGTCCTCCCGAAGATAGCGGGCCAGACCCGAACCTTAATCAGCAGAACATCTTCGGCAAGCTGCCGAACCGGGGAGGCAGCGGCCGAATGCAGCATATCCCGGAGACTTGGCTCCCCGATACGCACTATGTTTTCCAAGAGAATATGCTGGCAGCTGTCGGCCTCAGCCGAAAGTTTAGGGATGGTAATCTTCTTCGGCTGGGGCCGAGGCCTTTTAATTATCTCTTTTCTTCTTTCATTTTGCTTTCTTGTGATGTGCCGAACTAACTGAATTGACTTCTCCCCTTTTCTTTTTCAGAACGGGACGAGACCAACATCGGCATTGATTACGCTCGCCTTGGCGTCAACCGAGAACGAGTCGTAACTGATCGGGCTCCCCCTATCACTGAACCAAGGCGCCGAGAGGTTCACCTAGACTCTTCCCACTTCCAAATTGAGGCTGTTGCTCTGTATCAGAGGCAGAAGCCTTGGTGGAAGAAGAGGGATCCCTTGTTTCAGCTGCTGGAAGAAGAAGCTGAAGCTGCCCGTACAGCCGAAGAGGTTGCACGGGTTATTGAAGCTTGTGAAGGTGGAGAAGGGTCCTCCAGAGTTGCTGAAGAAGCTGCGGCTAGGGCAGCTGAAGAAGACGAGGCTTTGCTGAAGACCTCGGTGAGCCTTTAGACTTAACTTTGTCTTTCTTCTTTTTTTTTTTTTTTTTTACTCACACTCTTCTTCCCCCCTGTCTGTTACAGTCTGAAGAGAGTAACAGACACAGAGAAGGCAAAGCTCCTGTTCGTCCCGAAGATCAAATACAAGAGTCTTCAGACTCAGATATGGACGAGCAGCCTCTTCTGAAAAGGCGCCGAAGGATGGCCATCATCGGCCCTCATGACTTTCAGCAGAGGCCGATGACCATCGGCGTCGCAATAAGGGAACCTGAGGAAGGCAATGGATCGCCGAGGGTTCCCCGGCCACCGCCTCAATCACCCCCAAGGGCCTCTCCGCCACCCCCCGAGATGGAGGTGGATCAGAGAACTCCCAAACCTAAGGGAGAGGTTCTGGAAGAAGCTCGAGAGAGTGCCGCCGAGGACAAGGATGGAGACGCCGTGATGCCCAGTGCTGAGGGTTTCACGGCGGACATTGCCAGAGAGGTTGGGGCCTTCGTCCTCACACCTGAAGAAGAAGAGGTCACAATAATTGACTCTTCTGAGAAGGAGGACGTTGAGCCACCCAAAGCTAAAGAGGCTCCATCGTCATCCTTCCCTTCCTTCCAGACGCTGCAGTCTGGAGAAATGGGTTTCTCGGCCCCCCGAATTCCAGTCCCAGACCACATCTGGGACCTCATATGGGGTCAGAACCGAGAAGGTGCTGCAGCCTACTTCGGCGATTTTGCTGGCCTGTCCGAAGTAGATAGGGCAAGGATTTGGTCGCTGAAGGCCACTGCTGGGATGGGCGAATCCAGCAGATCAGTTCCTGACCCTGCCAGGTCCAACCAACTGCTGATGATGCAGGTAATTCTCCTTGCCTTGATTTCTTTCTGAACTCAACCTTTCAGCTATTATTTTTTACTTTTTTAACTTGTGCCCCTGTTTTCAGTTCGTGCACAATCAGACTCTCACTGTAGAGCTGATTGATACCCTACAAGATAGGGTAGACGCTGCTGTGCACGAAAGGAAGGTGGCTGAAGAGGAAGTTAAGCTTGCTAAGCTGAAGCAAGCAGCAGCTGAAGAGAAGCAGCAGGAGGTTGAGGAGTACGGTAAAAAAGCTGCCGAAGCTCTGAAAACCTTCTGTGATGCTATGGAGATGGAGGTTTTTCCCCCACTGATGGAAGGGGAAAAATTCCTCCAAGAGCACCTGGGGGTGGACATCTCCAAGTTCAAGGCTGCTATCGAGAGCCGAATCCAAGGAGCTGCTGCACAGGCTGAGGTGCAGCATCAGCTAGAATCTCTTGAAGCCAGCAGAATGGCTGCTGAAGAGATGCTCCAAGCTAGGGATGTCCAACTCTCAAGGGCTGCTGCTGCTGCTGAAGCTCAAAGAGCTAAGCTACAAGAGGCTGAGGATCAGCTCACTGCCAAGAAGGAAGAAATGGTCCAAGTTCAGGCCGAGGCTTCCCAGGTTCAGCAAGAGTTTACCGAGCTGAAAGGCTCCTCCTCCAAGCTCGTCGATGAGCTGAAGAGATCCGAGGAAGACTTGGAGGAGACGAAGAAGAAGTTGGCCGATGCTGAGGCTCTACTCAAAGTCCGTATCTATACCCAAGAAGAGTATGAAATGGGTTTTAGAAACGGGTTCAGAGTGTGCCGAAGGGTCTGCCTTCATGCTGAGCCGAAGCTGGACTGGTCCAAATGTGCTGAATGGGTCCAAGATCCCGAAGACCCTCACATGAAGTATGCCACTCCAATCGAAGCTGAAATCCTTAAGGCTGAGGAAGCCGAGGAAGAAGCTGAGAGGATGGAGTTGGAGGCTGAGCAGAGGGAAAGGGAGGCTCGGCAGAGTGCAAAGCCTGCTTCTTCTGCTGCTGGAGCTGAGACCACCATTGGGCCCAATGAAGCTGATCAGTCTGATCCTCAGGCTGAAGCATAGGAACTCGGGCAGTCGTCTTCAGAATCTTGCGGTTCATCATGCGCTCAACTTTAGACTTGCCGCTTTCTGAATTTTTGCCTTTTGTTTTTTTTTGCTTCAGCTTGCCTTATCGTACAACAGCTTATTATATTTTTATTTTGCCTGTACGTATTTCGGCAGCTGTTACTTTCCGCTTGTGGGCGGCTGCCGACTATTTTTGTAATTCAACATTTTTATTTCAAAGAAGTTCACTTTCTCAGCTTTCTTGTGTATTTTTTTTTTCTTCGCTTTACCAGTCTTCGCACTTTACTGCTTTCTTTGAATGATCTTTCAAATATTTGCTAAGTGCAGAACTTCGGCTAGCGAGAATCATTTCTGCTGAGACTTCTTTTTGCCGTTTGTACTCGGATGTTTTCAACTTGTGAAAAAACTGACATAAGTATCAAACTTCGGCTGAGCTGAAGGGTATTAGATCAGTTGTGCCATTTCTCTATTTCCCTCTGCCCCCCCAGAAATCTGAAGATGAGGTCTTCTGAATTCTGGAATGGCTGATAATTTTTCTCGGCTAAGCAGAGGATCTTTGTACACTTTGCTTTATTTTCTACATCTGTTTTTAAAGTACTGATTTCCCACCTGAGAGTTTTCAC